AAAACCACGCAAATCTAAAACTTTTTGAATTCAAGCCTTTTTTGAGAAAACTGCCAACATTTCCCCATCCATGGATCACTTTCAAAAAGGCCCTTTATTTCTGTCTAGAATGATGTACAAATGAGCGTTCTTGCTCATGTTGCCTCCGAGAAATGAGCAAAAACGGCACGGAAAATATGGAATTTTGGCATAATCTTGCACCTAAGTCTCCGATATTAAAAACCACGCAAATCTAAAACTTCTTGAGTTCAAGCATTTTTTGAGAAAACTGCCAGCATTTCCTTATCAATGGTTCACTTTCTAAAAAGGCCATTTACTTCTCTCTAGAATGATGAACAAATGAGCGTTCTTGCTCATTTTGCCTCCCAAAAATGGGACGGTAAACATGGAATTTTGGCATAATCTTGCACATAAGTGTCTGATATTCAAATTTGCGTGTTTTGACGACTGAATCGACTTTTCAATTCTCTATCCAACGACGGCGAAACAAATTCTGTGGCTCGAATGGTTCTTGAGAAACTTCGAAAAAAAAACTGCCAACATTTACTAAGAAAGCTCAACATTTTCGCTATTCTTCGGTCCATCGGTTTAAAGGTTATAGTCTTAATATGATCCCTAGAGTAGAAAGTTGCTCTCGAATGTAAAACATTTTATTTTTGAGGGCCTTAAACACTATCAACTGGAAACTTTTGGAAATTTCACTTCCGTTTCCTCAGGGGTTAGAAATCGCTGGCTAAAAGTTAGAGGAAAAATAGAGGAAAACCAGTAGCTGACAAGCAGTGAGAATAAATAAAAACAAGTCAATGCATGCTAATTGCCTTGTTTGGTATCGATTGAGACCGGAATGGTGTTCAAACAATAACACATTCCCAGCATTACAAGCGCAAACACCTTGGGCAAGCCATGGAAACATGTTTGAATAATAAGCACGAAGCGCGCCCGTAAGCATTAATGTTGCTAATTAATCCTTATAATTTATCCTAACAAAGTAAGCAGAAAAGGTAAACCTATAAGTATACGTTCACGTGCTGAGCGCAAATAAAACCACGCGTTTGCACACACTCTATTTCTAATTAGCATCGGATTGTGAGGTTTCTTTTCGCACAGTGTTGTCAAAATTCCGGGTTTTTTCGTTTAAATTTCCAGTTTGGTGAAAATTCCGCGCGAAATTTTTGGGGAAACGAGTTGCCGTGGCTGGGAAAGCTTCGCCGGCAAAGCCAGGTCGAAAACATTGCAGTTTTGCCCAACATTTTCGGAAAAAACCTTGAAAAAAAACCAGCTAGGCAACAGCGTCTTTGGACAAAGTAAACCTAATAGTGTCCAACGAATTAACGGGCTCTCGCGAGCGTAACTAGAAGATTGGTAAATATTGAGACACTTAACAAGTTAACAAGGTTTTGGTAATTTCTGATGACCCTCTGTTTGTTCGGTGTTTATCGTCCAATAAGGTGGCCGGAAAATATTATGCCCAACCAATTAGAGGCTGATTACTAATTGCGATTTTTACCACCCGGATCAGCGTATTGTATAGTGGTTGTTTATTGGATTATTTTATTGTGATAAGTGATTTGGTTTCTGTTGCTCCCATATGGGCTCGTTAGAGCAATTTGGCCGCACAATGGCGTAAAATGGTTGCGTTGGAGGTGTCAAGCAGGGTTGAAGGCCCGAGCAAAATCTATTATATCCCGTATAGTTTTCTGCCTAGTGGAGAGATTTACGTTGCCAATAAATCACCGGGAGATGGAAGTTTCTGGTGGCGAAAATCCCAGAGCTTCGCATGCGACGCCACCCTGTAGCTCGCTGAAGAAAGAAGAAAAAGAGCCTTAACTGCGGCCGATACGTTGACGAGCTATCAATAAATCATTTGCATTTACAAAGCGATTCACGACGGGCCGGCTTGTTTCTAATCCTGGATAATCGATCTGTGGCTTGTAATCGATATAATTGATATATTTTTATTGGTGTTGTTCCTTTCAAAATTAATTAATTGTGTCTGCTATTTAGTCTTGTCTCAATTGCCCCATGCGGCTCGGGTTCGTTTCGGTACCCCAGTTTGCCCAGCCATTGTGTTCGAAAAACTCGGTTTCGTTTATCAATCGGGCTTCGTCTGGTGCCTGCGAGTGTTCTGCGGCATGCATGGAGCATGGAAAAGGCAATTTCCTGGGCCTTTTTCCAAATGAGGACCGCCTAAATCTCCTTGATACGCCCCTCGTAAGACTTACGACGCACATTTCGCCCTTACGAGTTTGTCGAGAGGCAGAAATGAAATTGCATGAATATTGAATTGCCCGAATTTAAATATAAAGCGGAATTCGTAATAAAATGGCGAGGCTGCGAAATTCAAATGGAGGCATTCGCGCTCCGGGTTATGGAAACTTTGCCATCATCAAATAAACTTTACGACCGGCTGAATTAACTTTCGGGATCTTTCGCTTTTATTTTTTTGATTAAAACTCCTCGAGAAGCGTCGCTGTTTGGGGCTGCGCCAGCCAGTGAGTTTTTCCACATGCAGCAGGGACACACTTGATTAAAGTTGCTTAATTATTGTGCAAACGATCCAGTTGACATGGCGCAAGAAAAGCGCATCGATTTCGTCCCTGTATGGAGCAAATGATCGCGTGTATTATAGAGCGATGAAAGGTCGAGTATGAGGCGGAAGTGAAGGCTCTAATCTTGAGTTTCCGGTCGATTAGCGGTGTATGGAAACCGCCATATTGGAGTTTGATTTAAGAACACTCATTTAGTTCTAACAAAGACGTTCAACTGTTCTATTATCTTTTTGACACCAGCTTTATCATGGTTTGGATGCGGTTCTCTGGCAATTTCGGCCCAATATCGTATGTCGGGTTGTGATTTCGGCACATGCTCACGCTTGAATGATGTGCTAATCGTCGTTCTTTGCTTCAGCGTCTTTTTTACCCACGCCTGTCTAGTTGGGGCCATTAGGGATGAGCAAAGCAAGTCCAAGACTGTTTGTCTTATTGTTGTTTGTCTGGTTTCTGCACACAGTAGCACGCCTTGGATATTAACCATGGTTC